CAAACATGTTGTTGTTGTTATTGTTAAGTGCCATGGAGTCAGTTCTGACTCATAGCCACCCTGTGCAGGGTTTCTGAGGCTGTAAATCTTTGTGGGAGCAGAAACCTTCATTTTTCTCCTGCAGAACAGCTGGTAGTTTAGAACTGCTGACCCTGAGGTTAGCAGCCCAATTCATAATTACTACACTACCAGAGTTCCTAGGTCCCTAATACCAAAACTAAAGCAAACTCAGTATGTATCCAAGCTATTGACTCATTTATCCCTTAAACTAACTCAATATTATGGTGGTGGTATTTATGTGCCGTGGAGTCGATTCTGACTCATAGCAACCCTGTACAGGGTTTCCGAGCTGTAAATCTTTACGGGAGCAGAAAGCCTCAACTTTCTCGCGCGGAACCACTGGTAGTTTCAAACTGTTGACTGTAAAGTTAGCAGCCCAACTCGTAGCCACTGGTTATTATATTGTTATCCTCATTTTACAGCTTAGGAAACTAAGGCACAGAGAAACTAAGTTACCCAACGTCAAACTGCAGCTAGCACCTGTGCTTCAAACCCAGTTCACTTGGCTGTGGAGTTCAGGCTTGAGTGAATGCACTGAGGCAAAGCCTGCTGCTTCAAAACGTGATCCACCTCATTCGGTTCCTGAAAGGGTTGGAATCATTCCTTTGCACTCCTCTGAAATCTGTCCCCCGTTGGCTTTCACCCACTAGTTCTTGCTCTACTTTTAACAATAATTCAGAATATTGCTTTCATGATAGTCTTCTGGCTGTTAGGAGGCATAGTCCATGTCTTCAAATGCTGTTTGTGTGATTTGATTCCCAAGCCCTCCCCGTGGAGCCTGGCCCATTCTCCTTGGGCTGAGACCTTGGTGACTTTCTGCAGCTGGGGTGCTCAGATCCAGAGCCAACACTCAGGTCCTGGTGGACACATTACAGCTGCAGCCTCCAGGGACAGCTACACTGCTAAGCCTACAAAAAGAACGAAAGTCTCCCTGTCCTTATCAGCAAACCTACTGCGAACAATGCAAGGCCTATTGAGGGTTTTTATCTTTTTAAAGTTGTACCAAAGCCTGGGACTGGGGTAGGGTTGGAGGCAGGGTTATTTAGCACATAAATCCAAATAAATGGAAAAGACAGTCCTGCACTGAAGGGAACGCGCTGGTGGTATTGTGGTTAAATACTTAGCTGGTGCTAACGCAAAGTTCGAACCTGCCAGCCACTTTGCAGGAGAAAGATGTGGCAGTCTGTTTCCATAAAGATTATAGCCTAGAAAACTTGATGGGGCAGGTCTGCTCTGTCCTATTGGGTCTCTATGAGTTGGAGGTAGCATAGTGTTTATGAGTTGAGATGCTAATCTCAAGGTCTGCAGTTAGAAAGTACAGGTGCTCCACAGAAGAAAGATGAGGCTCTCTGCTCCCGGAAAGATTTACAGTCTCAGAAACCCTATACAGGGTGGCTATGAGTCAGAACCAACTTCATGGCACACTACCACCAATCACCACAGACAACAATAACCACTCTTTCACATGTAAAGCAACCAGAACAAGACAACGAATAAGCTCAAACTTTGATGGAATCATCAATGACCCAGCCTCCTGGCAATTTGGCCAGCTGTCTTTGGAGGCACTGGCCCCACTGTCCCTGATGTCTACCCATGCAGCACTGTCCAAATGATCGCCATGGTAACATGTGGAGCTAGCAGAGAGAGAGGCCCGCTGAGCCCTGGGAGGACCAGGGTCTTGTGGGCTACAGGGAGAAATGCCTCTTTGATTCATCGTCGAAATGAGCAATTAGAAAGTGGTAGAACCAGGACCCAAACTCAGATACCAGGTGGCCCAAGCTCACCCTCTTAACTCTCCACCACACTGCCACTCTGACCACCAGTTCCTTGGATCCACACCATTTGGATCCAAGTTTTTTGAAGAATCAATGTCGTTTCCCTCTTTCTCCTTAAAAGGAGGGGGGTAATGACTTCCTTTGTGTTTAATCAGCTTGTTGTTGGTATGTGAGAATTTGTTAGAAGTTCAGAGGATGCCAGTGTTCAGTACATTTCCACCACACAACTGACTGGTCTTCATGTGTGGAGGGAGGGCCGGGACCCCGGTGCCACAATTCACCAGGTTAGAATACGGATCCTGACTGAGGACGCTTCCTTCTTAAATCCAGGCTCCTTTTCAAGGCAGTTTGTTCTCGCATTCCTCTCATTCTTGACTGCTTGGGCTTAACATCTGTGTTCCCTGGTCCAAGAGCAAAAGGTAGACTCCCCTGAGCACCCTGCAGTCCTCAGACGTTTGGAAGTTGTGGGGTCAGGGAATATTTATTGAGTACATTTCCAGCCTCCTCCCCACACTTAAACTGAGTTCTCTTGTCTAGTACAAAATGTTTTCATGGTTCCCTTAAATAAGATTCCTGGTGTGGCACTATGAATAAACACAGGACTTCAAGCCACAAGATCGGCAGTTCAAACCCACCAGTTGCTCCTTGGAAACCCTGTACAAGGTCGCGATGAGTTGGAATCAATTCAATGGTAGTTAGCAACAACATAAATAAATAAGATGGGACCCCAGCCTGCCATTCCTTTCACATGTTTGTAGGCTTTGATTCAGACCATGTTAGGTGAGTAGAAAAGCCCACTCATTCAGAGACAAGGGTGGGCAAAGGTTAAAAACTCCCTGGGAATCCTCAAACACTTATTTCATAATGAAATCAAACTGGTTCTAGAATCAAATCAAACTGCTAAAAAAAAAAAATGCAAATGTGTATCCAAAGAGAGAAATGTAGTCATCTACCAACATTTACAGTGAATTATCTACAACGAATCCAAAACAACCAGCATCCATGAAGGTTGTCTCTACTCAGGAACATCCATGTGTGTCAGACTACAACAACGCCTCGTGGGGTTTTCAGTGGCTGATTTTTCACAAATAGATCGCCAGGCCTTTCTTCCAAGGGGCTTCTGGATAGACTCGAACTACCAACCTTTCAGTTAGTACTAAAACCAAACAAACCAAACTCTCTGCCATCCAGTCCACTCCGACTCATAGTGACCCTGGATAGGGAGTTCAGGGCTGTATCTCTTGAGAGGAACAGATAGCTAGGGGAACAGAAAGCTTCCTCATTCTCCCACAGTGGGTTTGAACTGCCAGCCTTGCTGTTAAGTAGTCCAGTGCTTTCCTACAGTGCCACCAGAGATCTTCTTTTTTGGCTAGTGTTTAAGTGAATGTTTAGGGACTCTATAACTAACCCAGAAGTCGCTAGTCACCTGATGCCTAGCTTCTACCCCTGTGTTGGTATCTAGGAAGGAACTCAACATCAGAATTTGGTTTTTATTTTTTTAAGATTCCCAAATGATCCCAATGTGCAGCAAAAACTTGGAGACCACAGACCTAATCACAGTGATTACATATCTAGCTGTTGTTAAGTGCCGTACAGCCAGTTCCAACTCATAGCGACCTTGTATAAGGTTTCCAAGGAGCCATTGGTGAGTTTGAACTGCCAATCTTATGGTTCAAACCAAGATTGCTCATGCTACAGTGCCACACCAGGACATCCCGTATCTAGTGTTACCCAGCCATAAAACACTCTGTTCGCCAAGAGGTCAAAGGGCCTGGAAACAGAGACAGGAACTACAGGATTTCAAAGCTGCCAGGGTCATCTGCTAACCAAAGTCTACCCAGGCCAGTGTTCTGCTTACCCTGCCATGTCCTCCTCCCCATTTCATTTGTGCCCTAAAAGGATTGCCAATGTGTAAACAAGTCAACTTGGGCCGAGAAAGACCATCTGACATCACTGCCAAATAAGCCAGCTGCTGTCAAGCCAGTTCCAAATCCTGGCAGCCTTGTGGATGTCGGAGTAGAACTGTGCTCCAGAGGGTTTTTAATGGCTGCTTTTATGGAAGCAGAACATCAGCTTCTCTTCTAAGCCATCTCTGGGTAGACTTTTTGGTTAGCAGCTGAGAGCATTAGCTATTTGCACAAATTAACTATTTGCCAAATTAGCCAAAAATCAAACCCATTACCACGACAGCAACCACATATCATGTTTCAGATGCAGTAAATACTTGGTGGTGGTGCTGGTGGTGGTTATGTGCCATGGAGTCGGTTCCGACTCATAGCAATCCTGTACAGGGTTTCTGAGGCTGTATATCTTTATGGGAGTTTAAATTATTATCCTTCTCCTATGGAGCGAATGGTGGGTTTGAACTGCTGACCTTGTAGTTACAGCCCAGTGCTTATCCTAGAGCGTCACCACGGCTCCACTGCCAAATTAATCATCTCAAATTCCAATGCCACCAAGTCGCTTTCAAGCTCTGGAACATTTGGGCTTCTCGCTGTTCTCTGGATACTCAGCACGCCACGCAGATCTTCCTCAATGTTAAGGGCTCCTTGAGAGCAAGGGAGCACCATCTCCTTCTGGGAGCCCACAGATTCCAGGGTAGCAATGAACAAGTGGCAGCCACCGAAGAGGACTCATTAAATGTGGCTTGATGAAGAAACAGTGAGGTGGCAAAGAGCCATAGACTAGGAGTCAAAGTTAGAGGCTTTAGCCAGAGTTTGGTCATCAATAAGCTGTACAAACTTTTGTCAAATTATCCATCAAAATGGCCCCTGGCATTTCCAAGAACATTTCCTAGACTATTCCCCAGAATAGTTTTAGAATTGCAGAAGGTCTAGAGAAAAACTCTCAGTACCCTGATACCTCCAGTGGCCACCGTGGTCCCCTAAACTCTCTGGTGCCTTCAAAGCTTCCACTGTGTTCCCCAGAAATGTTAGTGCCCAGCCCTGTGTCAGGGGTCTGCCTGCCGTGCCTGAGGGGTGCTCAGATGCCTGCTAGGTGGTGGAGTGAGGCACCGTTTGTTCTGGTTCTTGCCTTCCTGTGGTCTCTCACACTCCGGAGGACATGGTCAGCCTCCTGTTCCACCCATTACTCCCCGAGGCATGGCTCGGTCCTGGCACTGAGGTCAGCCCTGCTCCAGTGACCTGAACTCTGCTAACTTTACAGCTATTACAAGCCATCCCCGTGGGGGTCGGCCAGGTGTACGGCTGCAGCAATCCCTGGACAGGTGGTGTGTTCCTGATGGCTCTGTTCATCTCCTCGCCCCTCATCTGCTTGCATGCGGCCATTGGCTCAATCGTGGGAATGCTAGCAGGTAAGACACGGCCCCACTCTGCTGCAATGTTTTTCCTGTGGGTTTTTCTCCCATGCGCACAGCACATACCCTGGACTTACAGTTCAGATACTTTCCTTTTCTTGATTCTCTGAGGAGAGCAGCAGAGTCAGACATAAGGAGAGATGGGAAGGAACTAAAGACCCCATCAGCCTATAAACAGGGATCCTGGGTGCTGAGGGGTGAAAGGAGGAGGGTCACAGGGTGGGGATGAGGAGCCCTTGCAGACCATACAGCATGTAAATGATCCAGCTTGCTGAAATTTCTAGTAAGCCAAAGGGAAAACATGGCGGTCCCAAGGGTACAGAATAGAATAGTACCCACTAGGCTCTTCCAGGCCATGCCCTTTCAGAAACAAATCACTAGGCCTTACTTCTAAGATGCCTCTGGGTGGATTTAAACTGCCAACCTTTCTGTTAGTAGCCCAACACGTAACCATTTGTGCCATGCAGGGATTTACTTGGGATGGGCAAAGTGGCAGCATCAATGGGCTCAAAGCATGGCAACAATTGTGAGATAGGCCCAGGACCAGGCAGTGTTTCATTCTGTTGTGCATAGTGTCGCTAGGAGTCAGTACCAACTCGATGGCACCTAAGAACAACAACAAAATCATGAGTTAAAATTGACTCAACATGGTGCAAATGTAAAGGTAGATGTTTGTAACAAAAGAAGAAGAGTGGCTGATTTCACAGTCCAGGAGTGAAGGACCCTGGGACCATCAAGGGAGAAGAGTGGAGTGCAAGACCCTATCCAGAGAAGCAGCAACACCAGAGATGGAGGCAGAGATGATGACATGGAGAAATAGAGCGGCTAGGGACTCTGGACTCCGGGAGGGAGAGGGTTTGTGTATTGATGGACAGGGGGCAGGCTTACAGGGTGTGCCCTTTGGCTCTTTGATGATGCATGGAAGGAATTGTAATCATTGCAATGAAGCAAAATAAGATAGGATGAATGTAAAGCTAATGTTCTCCCATGTAAACTATGACATAATTCACGATAAAAACTTAAAAACAAACATTGACTCAACAACAGCTAACAAAAGGGTAAAGTTTTCCAAAAAATTTGATTGCCATTGAGAAATGTTATTTAATATTAATACATATATGTACGCATGCACATTTACATATGTATAGAGAGATCCGTGGTTAAAACGCTCACCTGTTAACCAAAGGTCAGCAGTTCAAACCGAGCAGCCATTCCTTGGGGGAAAGATGAGACAGTTGCTTATGTAAAGATTACAGCCTTGGAAAGTCTGTGGGGCAGTTCTACGTTGTCCCACAGTCTCTGTGAGTCAGAGTGGGCTCCAGAGCAATGCACTGTGGTATAGATGTACATGCTGGCACTGGAGTCAAAAACTGGAATGCGAGGATTTGGGAGTAGGACTTAGTCCATGCTTTTAAACCATTTTTTAAAATAGAGTTTTTAACATTTTTCACTTTGTAAATAATTTCAAACATCAAAAAAGTTGTAAAACTGGTGAAAAATACATCCATAAACTCTTTATCCAAATTTGCCTGTTATTAACATCTTGCCCTTTTGTTGTATCACGTCTCTATCTACAACTATCATTTTAATCTATGTACACAATTTTCTAAACCATTTTAAAGTGACATCATTCTTGCCAAAAATGCAGCTGCTCTGGCCAAAGGCATGGGGAAGGGCCTGGAACCCCACCTCCTTGATTGCCCCTCATCCCAGAAGTAATCACACCTATGTGTGAAACATGGCTACAGAAGAGTTTGAAGACCACTGTTCTCTTGTTGTTGTTGGTTTCATGAGTCTAGCTATCGTTTGTGGAGGCTCATTCAGCACATAGGGACTGGGGTGTTGCGTGACTGACTAGAGTGGTGTCGGACCTGCCCGTCATGCTGAGACCTGGTGCTAGCCACAGTGACCTTTGTACTATCCCACCTGTTGTCCCACAGCCTTGACGGTGGCCACGCCCTTCGAGACAATCTACATGGGCCTGTGGAGCTACAACTGCGTGCTCTCCTGCATTGCCATTGGTGGCATGTTCTACGCCCTCACCTGGCAGACCCACCTGCTGGCCCTCATCTGTGGTGAGTATTCCAGAAAGCTGACAAAAAGTCACTGTGGCTATTTGATACCCTTCTTAGTTATGTGAACCCCATGGCACCCACTGATAAGTAAGTAGGGTATCTGTGGTACAAGGACCAGCCACTTGGGTCCTAGCACCAGTGTTGCCTTTAACAAGGAATGAGAGATGCTTTTTCTATCAGATGGGATTGTGGCCATTGTCACTGCTATTATACAGTGTTCTAAAGTTTGCAAGGAAATTACACACACATTTTCTCATGTGTTTGTGATGACTTCCTGCTCTCTAGAACTCTTCATTCAACAAGTATTTGTAGAGTGCTACATTTGTAGCACTAAATGCCAGGCCCTAGACTAGGCATGAAAGATATGAGGTGACCAAGACACATAGGAAGTCTGTCCTCATGAAATCACACTGTAGCAGAAGAGAAGTCATTTCACAGATCATCAGCAAGACTGAGATATCAGCAAAGATTGTTAGATGTTGTGAGAGAGGGGGTGAGCCTTCTGCTCTAGGTCTGGGCATGAGACTGGGAAGAAGGGCAAGCTGGCGGAAGCTGACTCTCTGATGGTCCTTGTTCCTCCACAGCCTTGTTCTGTGCTTACATGGGAGCAGCGCTGTCCAACATAATGTCGGTGGTAAGTATGGACTCTCCTGAACCCTGCCCTAAAGCGTCTTCCCCAACCAAGGTCTCAGGACACTTGAAGTCTGAGTGGCTTGTAGTAACTGGTGTCCACAAAACACTTCCATCAAGGTCTATCCAGGGTTTTTCCAGAGAAGAGCTGGTATGCATGTACACTTGCCTCTGGTTGATGTGTGTGTGTGTATGTGTGAAAGAGGGAGTGATGCAACCAGCAGGAAAACATGTGAATGAACAGATGGATGTACTGGTGTATGATTGGATGCAGAAGGGTAGCCCTAGGCTCATTTTCAGCTCCATCATTAAAATTATGCTCAAAGGTACCAACACTTTAAATTCCAGGACCAACTAATCTGTTATTATGAATCCAACACCACCAATACCTTCACTGGGGGAGATTCCCATCTCCAACACTTTCCATACACTTTGCTCCGAGGGCCCCTGACTCAAGACAAGGACCTAGGAACATTCCTCAGGCCCCAATGCTTTTATCTCCAGGTTGGTGTGCCACCAGGCACCTGGGCCTTTTGCCTGTCCACCCTCATCTTCCTCCTCCTGACGACCAACAATCCCGCCATCTACAAACTCCCGCTCAACAAAGTCACCTACCCAGAGGCCAATCGTATATACTTCCTGACCGTGAAAAGCAACGAAGAAGAGAAGTCCCCCAGCGGTGACTAGCCAAGGCCCAGGCAGAAATACCCTTTGCCTAGAGCTGGTGTCTGTTCCTATGTCTGTCCTCATGTCAGCAACACTTCTTTGCCTGTCTTTGAGAATTATAGCTAGAACTCTCTTTCCCAGAAGCTGATTCTCTTTCTCTCTCTGCCTATCTCTCTTAATTCTCCTTTGTAGGACATTAGAGAAAGTTGGTATTGAACTTGATAGAGTTTTAAGTAAGGAGTGTGTTTTTAATGCTACTGACTTAGAACAAAAACTTTATTTAGTCTTTTAGGAAAGTGACTAATTGATTATCTTGGGTTGTTTAAGCAAATCATAGATGCTCCCAAGCAGGATAAGCAGGGAAGCTCATAGAATCTCAGGGCTGGGAGAGTGTGTGAAGGTCATGTGGTTCCCCCATCATAAGATGCATAAATCTCTTCTATAATGAAGGAGAGAGACTTCAGTTCCTTGCCAGGCTTCCAGAGAGGGCTAAATTACTCAAAAAAAGAGAGACTACATCCAACATATTCTAATAAAAGATGATAACCAGAATGAAAACCCTCATTGATTCACTATGGTCAGATTGCCCTAGAAAAACTCTTCCCCTCTCCAGTAAGCCCTTGATGTTCTCCACCCAAAGCACTGGGTCTGGATGGAAATGGCTTTTTAGTCATGTTTTTTAATTGGCTTTCCAAGAATGTGAACCAATTTAAATATGGAAAACTCTGTCCGTTCACTTTATAGTTTGTCATTCACTAGGTACCACAGGCCATGAATATCTGGGGAGGGGTTTTCCCCTCAGGTTCTCATTTTAGCCCATGATAGCAATGAAAATTTAACTGCATTAAAGCTGCCAAACTCACTTGATGACAAATGGATAAAGACTAAGCTATTCTGAAAAAGGAAAAACAGTATGTTGTTGTTGTTAACTGCCATCAAGTCGGTTCTGACCCATAGCGACCCAGTTCAGGATTTCCAAGGAGCAGCTAGTGGGTTTGAACTGCCTATCTTATGGTTCAAACTGACCTTATAGTCCAGCACATTATCCTGCAGCTCCACACCAGGAATATATATATATCCAGAAAGTCTGGAATAAACACAGGGTCCCAGAAATTCTCTATTCTACACTGTGATCAACATTATATATGAATCAAACAGAAAATCATATTATCTCCTATTTGGTAGTAAGAAATAACTGCCTTGTATTGTTATTCACTGAATTGGCTTGCCAAGAAAAATTACATATGAGCAATGAAATGCTTTAAAACCATCTTTGTGGGCTAAGAGGCAGAATGTTGATAGTATTTGCCAAACATGGCTAGAAGAGTTCCTTCTGGAGGCTGAAAAACACTCGATAGGGCTGGATGATGGGCTGAGACTGCATCCTTCCCCCAGGCATGGATAAGGATGAGGCAGAAGTCAAAACCCCCCAGCCCTCTAAGAAACGTCTGCACAACGCAGGTAACCCTGCCCAGAGGCCAAGGGCAGATGCCCAGATGACTTCTGAAGTAGCCCAAGTAGTCTAGTGGGACTGGCTTGCTCCCTGGAATGATCTTTTCCCACCTTGCCAGGGCCTTTCCATCTCACTGGCCTATAGAATGTGTAGGCACAGGAAGCCTGGGTATACAGATTCACACTAATAACACAAGTTTTCAGCCACTTAAAAGAAGGAGTCGAGCTTTGGGACTCCCGTTCCCACTGTTTTTCTGCTTGTTGTTGTTATTATTAGGTACTATTAAGTTGGCTCCATTCTATGTACAACAGAACAAAACACTGCAGTCCTGTGCCATCCTCACAATTGTTGTTATGTCTACAGCTCGTAGCTGTAGACACTGTTAGTCCATCTTGCCGAGGGTCTTCCTCTTCTTCTCTGACCTTCTTTTAAAACAGGTTTATTCATTCTTCTGGCAGTCTGTGGTAGAGTCAATATTCTTTGCCAACACTATAATTCAAAGGCATCAATTCTTCTTCATTCTTTGTCCAGTATTCATGTGCTTATGACGGGATTTAAAATACTGTGGCTTAGGTCATGCCCACCTTACTCCTCAAAGGTTTTTCTATACCTCCCCCAAATTGCTGGCAGCTCTTGGTTGGTGCTCAAGTTGAACATAAATTTGGAATCATTCAAGAGAATCAAAAAGGGGAGGCGCTAGTCAGAATGTACCAGGAGACTTCCTTAACCTCCATTCCACTGTATCCAACATTAATTTTGCTATATCTGCTTTCCTTCTAGCATTGTTTTTTATCCCATTGTTTTCAACCTTTACAAACTTCCTTTAACTAAATTTCTTTAAAGTGGTATATTTTTATTTTTTTAACCTAACCTCAGTGTTGCTATGATTTAATATAACTGTTCAATCTGTTCACATTTAGTGTACAATCAAAATGATTATGTTATTTCTTCTAGCTTAATCTCTTTAGTATTTATTTTTTCATTTTGCAAGTTTGATCGAGTTACTACCTTTTTATTTTCCCTTTTGATCATTTTGAAGTCCTGATGTTCTTTTCCATCCCCCTATTGTTGCATTCCCTTTCCCAGCATTCAGGATTTAATGTTTATTTCTCTATCATCCTGTCAAAATACCCCACTTCTCCAAAGCTCCTTTCCTTCCTCTGAGAAACAAAGCCTTTTTAATACTTCCTCTATTCCCTCCCTATGCCGCAGACCTTCAAACACTTTTACTTCTCTCTAGCCTTTTCTCATCCCTAGATTTTGCTTATTTCTTCAATTCTTTACCCCTGTACAAATAAGTCTCATTTTTCAAGAATCCTTATTTAGCCCCTTTATTAGTATTTGCAGTAATTCTACCATTGTCCATTCATAGTTTACTATGTATTTTGAACACGTCACCTTTTGTTACTGGTTCCCCTTTTCTTTGATTTCCCATCTTGCAATCTGTTCTGGTTCATTTATTATTTATTGGGAGTTCTTTTTTTAGTGTTTTTCCTTAAACTACATGTGAAGGATTACAGATGACATATTCCCTGGCTGTTTGCATGTCAACAAAGCTTCTTTCATCCTGATAGATGAATGGAATTTTGGCTAGGTGTGATGTCCCTGAGTTGCAGCCTTTCCTCTCAGTTACCTGTAGGTATTATTCCTTCATTTTCTGGCTTCTAAGTATTACAGAGGAGAAGTCTGGTGTCAGTCTCATTCTTTATTCCTTTGTAAATAACTGTTCTTTCTTTCTAGATAATTTTAAGGTTTTCTCTTTAGAATTCTAGAATTCTGCTGAGGTATACCTAAGTCTGTCTTTTCTCATCAATCATGCATTTTAATCTGCATATTATAAAGTTTTTCTTCAACTGTGCAAACTTCCTTTCAATATTTGTTTGATTAATTGCTTTTCTCCCATCTCTACCTTTCTCCTTGATCTCACTCCAAGTTGCTTATCCTTTTCTTTACCATTTTGCCATTTGTAGATTTGATCTACCTCGAGGTACTTCTTCCACTTGATCGTCTATGTAATTGATTCAGGGTCCAATAAGATCTATTATTTTCTTCAACTTACCTGTCAAAATGTTTAGTTCAAAAATCATGGTTTTAATTTCAGATCATCTTTGGGATGAAGGGCTGAAATTGAATCTCTGTATGTGTTTTTATTATTCTTTGGTTGTTGCCTGTCTCCTCTTGTTCCAGAAATCAGCTAAAGCTTCTGGTAACTTGTTGTTGTTGTTGTTGTTGTTGTTGTTGTTGTTGTTGTTGTTGTTAGGTGCCATTGAGTCAGTACTAACCCATAGCAACATTATGCACAGCAGAACGAAACACTGCCAATCCTGGGCCAACCTCACTATTGTTGCCACGCTTGAGTCCATCCATGCTGCCACTTGGCCAATCCATCTCACTGGGGGTCTTCCTCTTTTCCTACGACCCTCCACCTTACCAAACATGATATCCTTCTCCAGCGACTGGTCCCTCCTGACAATATTTCCAAAGTATGAGAGACGAAGTTTGGTCATCTTGGCTTCTAAGGAGCACTCTGGCTGCACTTCTTCCAAAACTGATCTATTGGTTCTGTAGTCCCCCAAATGTTCCTATTTCCCTTGTTTCCTCTCATATGGGCTCCTGTGTTGATTTCCCAGGGCCACTTGCCAACTTTCATGAGCCAATCCCCTAGAAACTCACTTAACCACATCGTGGCTTGACCTCATCCACTCATTCATCCAGAAGACATTGCATGAGGAACTATTAATATGTTACTCTGTCCTGGGGCTTAACAACAAACCAGGAAAGAACTAGATGAGTCCTTGCCTTCAAGGAATTCATTTTGTAGACATTTTCCTGGCTGGATGAGTAGTCTTACCTGAGTTGAAGATGAGGATGGAACCACAGACTGCCTGAGACCACATAAACTCATAGCATAAGTTTTATTGAGTGAGTTATCTGGTTGGGTTAGTCTTCAATTCAGAAAAAATATCAAGCATGGCTTTAAGATTTCTATCCCTCTTGTTTCCTTTCTTGCTGTGTGAACATTCCCAGCCATCTCTTTTGAGGATTTAAACCTGTTAAGATGCAAACAGCCCTGGGACACTAACACAGAAAGCGTGGTCATTCATTTGCACCTTAGGGAGAAGCCATCTGTGAGAATGGTTTGATGAAAGAAGAGAGGAAAGTGCAAGGAAAACTGGGTAGCGTATCTTCAGAGGGTCTTTTGCAAGATGTGCTACCTATTTTATACCCAAGGGTTGGCATGTTGAGATGAGGACAAGGTGGGGAAATGAGGGTCCAGAGCCCTCTTGTCTCATAGGGAATGATGATGAAGGTAGTTGTATCTGTTTTGGAGAAGAGAAGTCCTGGCTGGGACCAAGGCTACCTTTAGTATGAAGAAGAAAGAAGAGATAGAATTACTCAACATACTTCAAAGCACAGAGCAAGGATTTCTAGATAGATGTGATAAGCAGGTGGACTTTGAAGGAGGAGAGGTTTTTCTAACATTGCAAATTAACCGAGGAATGATTGTCCTATGAGTTCCCTATTCGGGCAGTAAGAAAGCATGGACTAGAGAATTGTTGAGGAGGCT